AAAAAAAAAAAAGAGATACCATGTTTGCAAAACACGTAAAACTTTTACATAACATTGGAGGGAAAACTTGCTTTTAATCTAGACTGCCTAATATCCTCACATTATTCTTGTTTTATTCAAGGCAACTCAAAGATTGAGCACTTCTTATCACTTAAGTTTCACATCAGGATAAATATGAGAGTTAGCAGTAATGCAAAGGACCCAATGAAGAAGGGTCATTTAGAGAAGAGGTTATGCATGGCTTTCATAATGAGATACAACAGGCATTAATACACATTCTCTTGTTTTATACAGATTGTAGTTCTTCCTCTATTGGTTTTTCTAAGTCTTGCTCTGCCGTATGTAATAATCTCTGGGACTGCTGATAAGCCAATGATGCTCTAGCTGTGTATTAAAATAGCTCCCTTTTAGCTATCTCTGACCAAGTTGTAAACAATTTTTTGCGGTTCTATCAGTTAGGCAAGAAATACATCCAAGTAGCTTAACGGAGCTAAATATAAATTCTGATCCACTGTTGACGCTAAACAAAGTCCATCCTTTCTCCTACCTCCATACCTTTATGCCTTCTCGTAAAATAGCTATTCTATTTATATGGCATTTTAGAAATTTTACCATCACAAAAAAACTAATGTATTTTTAGAACCTTTGAACATAAATTACATCTTCCTAATGAGGCTACATTAATTGTTCTCAAGAGACTAACTGGCTCTGCTGGTGTAGTTTTCACAGTGCTACCAGCGATCCTCTCTTCTCTCAACTTTGATCCCATCTTTTATCCTCTACATTTAATCCATCCTGCCAATTATTTCTTTGCAGTGTTCTTTAAGTTATTCCTTTTTCCATTCTGACCATGACGAATCTACTCTAGGCTCATATCTCTTGTCTCTAGTTTCTTTGGTTCTAGATTCATCAACTGTATCTCCAAGGTGTTCATTCTTATTGCATTGTAAATCAAGTCCAAGGGCCACCATGTTCATCAAGCCCTTACTTTTCCTGTAAGTAGTCCTGGCTTTTTCTTCTTCTTCTCTGGCTTCCTTACCTTTGTCTTTTTTACAGGCTCATCCTCAGCTATCCAGCCATTAATTGTCAGTAATGCTTAAATCTCAATTCTAAGCTTTCTTCTCTTCTCAATCTATGTTTTTCTCCTTAGATTTTCATTCATGTCCAACTATTCAGTAACATAACTGACTCTGAAAATATATCTCATACCACTAGCTACTGACCTGACAATTCTACTTATATGTTTCGAAGACATCTCTAACTCAAAGAGTGCAAAACCAAACTCATGAACTTTCTCCCACTCCCAAAAAAAGAAAAAGAAAACAAAAACAAAACCTAAAGCCTGACCTTGCAGAGAATGGCACCACTATCTGATCCCAAGTTAGAAACCTGGGAATCATCCTTGATACCTTTTCTTTCTTGTTCCTTACAGCAGGATATCACATCAAGTCCCCAAGGTTTTTTTGTTTTGTTTTGTTAACTGGATTTTTAATTTTATTTTATTTTATTATGTTATGTTAATCACCATACATTACATCATTAGTTTTTGATGTAGTGTTCCATGATTCATTGTTTGCATATAACACCCAGTGCTCCATTCAATACCCACACTCTTTAATACCCATCACCAGGCTAACCCATCCCCCCACCCTCTCCCCTCTAGAACCCTCAGTTTGTTTCTCAGAGTCCATGGTCTCTCATGGTTCGTCTCCCCCTCCGAATCCCACCCCCCTTCATTTTTCCCTTCCTACTATCTTCTTCTTTTTTTTTTTTTAACATATAATGTGTTATTTGTTTCAGAGGTACAGGTCTGTGATTCAACAGTCTTACACAATTCACAGTGCTCACCATAGCACATACCCTCCCCCAAGTTTTAATTCCTAAATATCTTTTGAGTCTTTGTTCTTTGCTCTCTTTGCATTAGTACTTTTCATTACCCAGTCATAAGCAGCTCCAGTATGACTAATAAACAACTCAGCACCCCCAAATCTCTCCTTTCTTATGTCCAATTCATTCCCTGTGGTCACAGGGATCTTTTTAAAATGTACTTCTGATCATGACACTATGCACTTAAAATGAAAACTCTCCAATGTTTCTGGGCAAAAGACAAAATCCTTAAAACTGCCAAAATGGTCCTGGGTGATCTGGTCCCTCCGGCCTTATTTTTCATCATATTTCCTTACCATGAGGTCTTTCCACTTGTAATTCCTTTTCCTTTTGTTAGAATGCTCTACTGACTCTCCGACACCACAATCCTTGTCTATTCTTTTTCAGATCTGAATCATAACTTCCTCATAGAAGCTTTTCCTATAGGTCAAATCCTCCTATCATATGGTCTTACAGCACAATATCTCTTTCCTTTACATTTAACATAGTTGTAATTTTACATTTATTTGTAATTCCATAAGGGCAGGAAACTGTTTTTTCCCCTTTGCTTGTAATTGTAACTCTGAGCCAGGCACATAACATGCATTCAGTAAATATTTTTAATTGAATGAATGAAATACAAATTCTGTGATCTCAAAACTCTCTTTCAGCTAAATTCATCTCACCACTCGCATTTTGTTTTTCAATATTCCCCAAGGCAGACCCCCTAATCAATCAAGTGCCTTACTATTTCTTTCCCTCCTTTCCTTACCATACACACCTTCCTGAAGCATTCTAGTCCCTGTTGAGCAACATAGAACCTGCCCACAGGAGGCACTCAACACAAGCTTATTAAACCTGAAAGGCAGGGTGGCTCAGTCATTAGACATCTGCCTACAGCTCAGGTCATGATCCCAGGGTCCTGGGATCGAGCCCCGCGTCTGGCATCTGGCTCCCTGCTCGGTGGGAAGCCTGCTTCTCCCTCTCCCACTCCCCCTGCTTGTGTTCCCTTTCTCGCTGTGTCTCTGTCTGTCAAATAAATAAATAAAATCTGAAAGAAAAAAAAAACCTGAAAGGCAGGTTCAAGACCCATTTTCCCCCAAAAACATTCCCTATCTAATCCCAAACTTCTTTACTCTTAATTCCTAGATTAGTATCCTCTGTACTGCACAATCTAGTACTTAATTGTATGCTGTTTCATATTATCTTCTTCTAATTGTTTTATTTATGTTCACCTCAAATCTCCACACAGACTAAGAATTGAGGATGGCTACTATGTTTTCCATTAAAGACCCTGGAATTGTACTATTTATTAAATAGCTACTTAATTTGTTTGCTCAGTGAAAACTACCAAGAAAATGTAATTTCATCCAAATTTTGTATTAATATCTTACTATTAAGTAATAAGAGAGACACATTTTTTTTCACCTACCTTCTCCCTCCCCTCTTCCTCCCCCCAGTCATCACCTGAGAAAGGTGTTAATGAACAGAGAAATGTCTCAACTATAGGTAGAAGGAAGAGGAAGACAGAACCAAAGGTCAGGTGATATACATAATTCCTGAATTATGGAAATTTAAGGATCAAAAAGATCCTATTCATCAGTACTGAAAATGTAATGAGATTATTTAATATGTTATACTTAATAATGTACATTTGTTTGTTTGCTTGTTGTTTTTTGCAATGTGGTTTGTGATTTTGTTGTTTAAAAATTTTTTCCCTGCTTCTAGGTCACAAAGGTAATTTTTGTATTTTCTTGGATTAGCTTTATAATTTTATCTTTTATATTTTGGTTTTTAGTTCATCTCCAGTTTACTGGTAATGTGGTGTTGGGTAGGATCCAGTTGTATTTTTTGCTATAGAGTCAACCAGGTTTCCCAATACATTTTTACTAAATAATCTGTCCTTCCCTACAGATTTATGATGCCCCCTCTAGCCTATGAGTTTCCACAAACAATTGGATTTGTCTCTGAGGTCTCCATTCTGTTCCATTGAGTCATTCGTCTGTTCTTATTCCAAAACTACACTTAAAACAATTAATAATTGCTTTGTATCATGTCAGTCTCTAGTAGGACTAGCCCTTTCCCTATCTTTATTCTTTGTATTTAAGGTTGATTAGTCATGAATCTTCATTCCTTCATATAAATGTTAAAGTAACTTAATCAAGTTCCTCAAAGAAATCCAGCTGGAATGTTGATTGAAATAAATCACATGATTTATAGCTTACTTTGAGGAACAACTGACATCTTTATAGTATCCTATCACATAACACAGGTGCATAAACTCTCTCTCCATTTATTGACATATGTTATGGTGTTTATAACAGTCTTAAAGTCTTCTCCATAGAGTTATGTCGTCTTGGTCAAGTGAATTCCTGGATAATTTATAGTTTTTCATTTCTATTATGAATGGTATCTTAATTTTGATTATATAGTGTAAGAAATACTATTAATTTTTACAGGTTGATCTTTATCTGGCAACATTGATGAATTTTTATTACTGATGATAATTTATAATCCCTGTTGATTTTCTAAAAAGATGATTGTATTTACTGAAAATAATGAAAGCTTCGACTCTTCTGGTTCAATCTTTACACATTTTTTTTTTTCTTCCTTTCCAGTACTATACAGGACCCCTAGTCCTCTGTAAGATAGTATTAAGGTATATTAGTAGTAGTATAGTATAATATTTATCAGTATGTTGGGAGCATTATTGTTCTGATCCCTATCTCAAAGGAACTGCATCTAAAGTTTCTCCACTGAGTATAAATATGTATTTGCTATAATATGCTGGTATGTAAGCTTTATCAATTTAAGGAGGTTTGCTTCTATTCTTAATTTGGTGAAATGTTTTTTATCATAAATATGTATTGATCCTTTTCAAAAGCTTTTTCTACAAAGACTGAAATAATTATATAATTATCTTTTATATGTGTGGAATGTGGGAAATCACTTTAATTACTTTTCTGATGTTGAGCCATCCTTTTATTCCTGGGTTAAACCTCACTTGATTTTGATGTGTTATTTTTTTAATAAACGGCTACATTCAGTCAATATTTTACTCTTTGCTATGTTCATAAGTGAAGTGATTTTGTAATTTTCTTTATCCTCTGTCTTTGGAATCAAGATTATACTAAAATCATAAAATTAACTAGGCAGGTTTCATTTTTCCTATATTCTGGTCCACCTTGTATAGGATAGGAATATCTGTTCTTTGAAAGTTTGGTGAAGTTCACCTGTGAGTCTATCCGAGCCTGGGATTGGGGAGATAGGTCTTTGACCTCCTTTTTAATCTGTCTCACGCTTACTGATCTAGTTCAAGCTCTCTATTTTTTCCCCTGATCCAACCTTAACATTTCATTTTTAAAACATGCACATTAGGTGATAGAAATGAAGAAACCTCATGTAATTTTAAATTACAAACTGAATTGTTTAGCAATGGATTTTTCTTTTCTATCAGGGTACGCATAGCTTAGATGTGTCCTAATATAATAAGCCTCAATTAGCCAGCCACTGGGGAGGGAGAACTAATGGTTAATTTAATTTTCTAGTTTGCTGAGGGTGAGCTGAAGGCCTCATGTTTCAACCTTGTTACTGGCAATCTTTATAAAATGTGTGAGTCTACTTTCCTGCCTTAGTAAGTACAATATGGTTAATGTTATTAAATCTATCTGTGTTGATTGAAACTATTGCAATGTGTCAGAATCGACTCAAATTTCATTGAGCGTGAGCTGATGAAATCCTCACTAAGCCCCAGGCACAGTCTGAGAGCTGCCTTTTTGAGTAAGTTCCCAATTTCAACTTAAGCATGCATCTCCTCCTGCAAAGATTTAATGTAAAAACAAAAGCTCTGGTTCAAAGAAAAAAAGGATTGGTTTTGGTGAATGAATCTAGTTGATTAATTGACATGCAAACGGAGTCCATTGGTAATATTTACCAAGATTACAAATGTATTTACATCTGCCTCAGCAATCCTACCAACTTATCCCTTAGATACACTTACCCTTAGATATACTTGCACTTTATGGAATTGTGTATGCATATCACAACACTGTTTATAATAGCAAGAAATTGGAAACATCTATTGAAACGGTGGGTGCAAATATATAAATAATGGAATGATACGCAGCTGTTAAAAGAAGAATGAGAAGGTTCCTATAAACTGAAATGAGAAGAGCTCCAAAGTACAGAACCATGCTATCTATATTTTGAGTAAAACAAGAGGAAATTTAGCTATGCCTGAAACTAATGTGACATTGTATGTCAACTAGACTTCAGGTAAAAATAGGAAATTTAAAACATGTATTTTTCTTTCCTTCTATTCTCATAAAGAAAAGCTGAAATAAATAAAAATACTGTAATATCAAAAACAGGTAAACAACTTGCATGTACAATTCACAAAAGAAGAACAATTCATGGCCACTAAACCTAAAAAAAAATTTTTGAGTGTCTATTATGTGCCTGGAATTTTAGAGCTAAAATTAATCACTCTCTTTAGGAGACATTTTGTTATCACTATTTTAAACTCAGAAAACACATTTATGCATTGACAGGGAGAGAGAAAACTCAGTCACATATCTCTATGTTTTAAGGATTATATAGGAAAGAGGATGAGTAGAAAAGACAAAATGGGTTTTGCTATTTTTAAGAGGAGACTTACTTTAATTGCCGAATATAGGGAATAGCCATGATGCTTCTTAAACTCTGCTCGAATGTCCAGAAGGTCTATTTCTGATCTGGACACCATTATTCGGTTCAGAGTAAACTCGTCGGTTCCAGCACCCTGTTAAGAATACAGGTGTCCACAATACAAATCTCACTGGTCACAAGACAACATATAGATCTATATCTATGGGAAACAGATAATGGTGCACAAAATATTCAACCACAGTGACTCTTCTTCACTCATTTGTCATCAAACTTCATCATTCATATATTCGAGAAATATTTATTGAGCACTTACTCTGTGCCATCACCATGCCAAATGCTGAAAACAGAGATGAGATAGCCCTGTTAAGCGTTCAATTTTGTAAAGGATATACTATGTAATCCAACATATGGGAAATATTGGGTACTATGGGAGTATATATAAGGAGGGCCTAAAATAGATCAAGGGTTAGGAAGGGTGTGCCTGAGAAAGTGGTATTTGACCTGGGGCCGAAATAATGAACCAGAGAAAGAAATCTACTACATGTCAGATATGCACTGTGCATACAGTAGCGAACAGCATGGATTATAGCTCTGTTCGCATGGAGTTCACGTTTTAATGGATGGAGATGGACAGGAGAGAAAATTAACACATTGTTTATGTAAACAGTGATAAGAATTATGGAATGGAGTGTGACCGAAAGGAATCCAATCGACCTGTTTAGTCAGGGAAGACCTCTCTCAGGAGGCGACCTGAGAGATGAGAAGGAGCCAGCCATAGGTCGATCTGGAGGAGGTCCATTCCAGGCAGAGAGGGCAACAAACGCAAAGACTCTGGTGTGGGATGACACTCGGCATAGTCAAGGACAGAAAGAAGGCCAAGGTGGCTGAGGCATAGAGGGCAAGGATGGGGGGCGGGGCGGGGAACAGTATAACTTCAGAGAGTCGGGCAAGGCTAGCTCCTGTTGGGGCTACCCACTGAGGTGACTGAACACGGGACAAGGAGCAGCCTTGGGTGGGGGGTGAGGTGACGGACAGGATGTGTTCACTTTGGACATAACTTTGAAGGCACACGTGGACCTCCATAGGAAATGTCCAGGAGAGAGACTGAAGTACACATCTTCTCATGTGCCCGGCTCAGGGCAAGGCCTGAAGATAGAATAGAGCAAGAAAAACGCCTGTACTCAAGGATCTCACTGTCTAGCAGCAGCAACAGACAAGAAAGCGCAGGGTTTCTATAGCACGAAAGGCTGCTGACTCGACTCGGTTTATTTTAAGAGGCCACTGGGCCTTATGGGTCAGGCTTGAGGTTTGGTGTTCTAAATCAAGGTTCACTGCCTCCACTAACTGTGATGTGGGGAAGATAATTTAGTCAACGCTTTGCTGTACCTATCTCTAGAATGATTAGGATACTCACTACCAACCTCTAAGACAAAACGAGGACTCCTCCAAGGAGGGAAGGGACATGAAATTCCATGAGTATGATGCAGTATTTTTTTATATTCTCCTGGAGAGAGACTAAGAATGTATATGAAATTTCCAGACCTACCTTTAAAGCCTGATACAGTCTTTCAGCTAAAAAGGCAGGCATGTTTCTGGCACAGTGAACTATTATAAAAAGCAAAGTAACGTTCAGTTTCATTGAATAGAAATTGAGTTAATCTACAGTAATATGTTTTTTTTAAAAGATTCTTTGAGTAACCATACCACTCTACCCCCTGGTCACTACTAGCATTTATTTACGATGGAGAGGTGAATGCTTCACCTGACTTTCAAAGGCTTATCAAGTCTTGATTCGCACGGAACTTAAGCACAGTCATTCTCTTTAGTCAGGGGGAAAATATAATTACCTGCCAAAGAAGCTCCCACAGCAGCTGACTCATCTCCTGATCCCAGACACACCAACACCTACGCTTACATCGATAACTCCCCAGGGTGTACCTTTGCTCCATTTCTAGCATCTCTGCTGATAAAGAACTTGGGCCTGCAGATGGCAGAGACCTCCTGGGGGGGACTAATCTGCTTACATAACGGTGTTTGTGTCTGCTTGTTAATCCACATGTCTCCAGGACCAGCTTCAGTCTGTGCCTGACTTTCTGTTCCATACTCCCGGTTGGCTTGGCCAAGAGGGAGGAGACCTAGAGTTCCGATCTGGGCTCAGCTTTGGGAGTCTATGGATATCTTCCCATAATAACCACATAGGGTCAATTACTAAATTTAGTAAATTACTCAATTACTCCGTTTTCAACAAGCCTCAATAAAAATGCCAATAGAAATGTAGTATTTTCATCTCTCCAGGAGTTTACTAATCCAAGCCTGGTGACAAACCAATACAAAGTTAAAAGGCAAAGTAAAACCTAAAAAGATAACTTCTTCATGCATCCACTTAACAGTATTTGTGGAGCACACTGTGTGCCCCGGGGACGGTGCCGGGGGCTATGGGAGCATAAGGATAGATCGGTCAGCCTTCTTACAGGGAAGGAGTGAACCTTCCCGTTGATTTAAAACAAGTGCAAAGTAACTCAGGTTATAAGCACTGAAGGGCTTACCTATGGCCAGAAGTAGGTCTTCAAAATGCCCAGACAATTCTCCTTTTATGCTGTCCTCAATGTCCTTCTGGCTAATATTTCTGTATTCGTCAAATGCTAAAAAGCAGCACCACAAAAAATATTTAAGGCATCCCAGTTGACCACAACTTGAATATATTCCAGTTTTTTATTTGATATGCAGCAAATCAAGTTAAGTGTCAAACTCAAAAACTCCTCTTTAAACCATCAATATTTGAGCATGGAAGTTTTTGTTTTTTTTTAATTATCTACAATAAAACCTAAACCTCGGGGCACCTGGGTGGCTCAGTCGGTTAAGCCTCTGCCTTCGGCTCAGGTCATGATCCCAGGCTCCTCGGATGGAGTCCCACATCAGGCTCCCTGCTCAGCAGGGAGTCTGCTTCTCTCTCCCTCCGCCCCTCCCCCCTGTTTGCGTTCTCTCTCCCTCTCTCTCTCTCAAATAAATAAATAAGATAAAAAAATAAAAATAAAAAAGCCCCTAAACCTCATAGGCCATTTTCTTCAATGATCTCTTTCTCTCTCCTCCTTTCCCCCTTCCCAGGTTGATGGAATTTAAAATAGCTTGAAAGGTTAAATTAAAAATAATTTATCTAGTAAGGTGGGCTACTTTTAAATTATAGCATCACCTGGGAAACAATAGTGTGGTCATTAGTCAAATATGTTTTATCTGCTAAAGAAATCTTAATTATGCAGATTTCTTTCTGCTGAGTAAATCATTCCCTAAAGCAGCATGGCCTACCCACGCTTACCAGAGGTAATGTCTTGATCAGTTTTTGTCCCAAAGCAAAACCTATAGGTCACCAAGTACAGAGGCATACTTTGTAAGCCAAGTAAATTTTTCCTTGGAAATTTTGAAAAACCTTTGGAGAGAAGTCTAGCATTGTTTAGTTTTTATTCTTCAAATAAAAGTACTCATAAAGCAACTATAATATACTATTACTATTATTTTCTAAAATAAGTGAAACGTAATGCCAAAATTAAGGAGGGGCAATCTCAGAATTAAAAAGTCATGGTGATATCCTCATGTTTCCTCATTTTTCCGTGAACTCAGCATAAGCCTAGTCACGCACTGTGGTTGCTCTCTCGACCAGCACTTGGGAGCCACCGCTGGAGGCTCACAGTAAACGGAGTTCTGGGCTTCTGGGTGCTGTGGCTTCCAGAAAGGTTCAGGGGGGTACATGAGTGAGGAGGTGGCTGCTTAGCAGTTCCATGTAATAGTTGGTCTGACCAAAAGAACTATGCTGCCTTTCCCCCATTCACTGTCGAATCAGAAAGAGCCGAACGTTAATCCTTATTAACACATTAACAGATACCCAGCATGCCTGGTTTCTCTGGAAAGTGGCTAACTCGGGGAGAGATGGGCTGGAGGCATTGCCTTCGGGCTCCCCCATACCACCGGAATATTCCTCTCTGCTCTCACCCCAGAGGGCTCCCCTTTTTCTTCTCCCTGTTGTCCCTCTCCCACCTGTTACTTGTCACTCACTAGCTAATGTACTCAGCCTCCAGGGAAGACAAGAGTAGGGTCAGTTCCGCCTTGAGTTGGAACACAGCTCCCCATATTTTCTCCTGAATTGTTTATACATACAAATGGAACAGCCTTTGCAATTTTTAATTTCGTTTTCCAGAATTTTGTATATTAAACCCCAAAACACTTGCAAATGCAAGACAAAGCAAAAAGGTTTGTAATGTGAGTACGTACTCAGTTTCAGTTGAGGAAAACTCCTTAAACACAGGATCTCGGTGAATTTATCTTCATCTGTGCCCCATCTGTTCTCCCCAGCATTATAGAGAATCTATTGGATGAGAAGAAGATTTAGAATGTTATTATGGACACAATCTCTCTCTTTCTCTCTCTCTCTCTCTTTCTGGGCAGGGGATTGGTGGAACGAGAAGAGCGGGAGGTTTACTTGGTAGTAGAGGTTAGGGAGATAATCTCTTACCCGGGTCTCTCGCTGTTAGCGGACTAGGAACCTGAGAGTCGGGGAGGCTGGAGACAGAAGAAGAAGAACCAGCACGGGGGGAGGCAAAGAACCAGGGGTGGGTGATGCCCAGCCTTCAGGCTTCTCCTCCCAACAGGACAGGAGAGGGCAGCCTCCTCTGGTGCCACACGAATGAAAAGGCAGTCGAGGGGGAGAATGGCTACAGGAGATGTTGTCTTCGCTCTATTACTGACCTGGGCATCCTTTTTGGCCAGCTGCCCATCCACTTTCAGACTCTCATCTCTTCTGCCCTACACAGGGAAGATGAAAACAACGGCAATCCTTTTAAGGACAGAAGATTCTAACACTTGGTATTCCAATCAGCAGGGCATTTTAGAGGTTTTTCTCCAGTGGAGACCATGAAGCACAGAGGAACTGGGCGCTCGGGGCTCCTGTTCTGGCTCTGCTGCTCACTAGCCATGAAATTTCTAGCAAATCACACAATTTTCTGAGCCTCAGTTTCTTCCTCAAAGATCTTAAGGGGATGAAAAAACAGGCCACGGACTGGGAAAAAATATTTGCAAACACATATCTAAGACAGGACTTATATCCAAAATATATAAAGAGCTCCTAACACTCACTTAAACCAATGAAAACCTAATTAAAAAATGGGCAAGAGATCTGCACAGAGATCGGATAAACAGTTGGCAAGAAAGCACATGAAAAGATGCTCAATATCACGCGTCATTAGGGAACTGAAAATTTAAAAAAAGAAAACACAACCATAAAATACCACGACATACCTACTAGAATGGCTAAAATCCAAAACCCTGACAACACCAAGTGCTGACAAGGATTTGGAACACCAGGAACTGTCATTCCATGCTGGTGGGAATGCAAATTGATAAAGCCACTTTGGAAGAGAGTTTGGCCACTTCTTACAAAACCAACCACACTTTAACCATCATCCGGCAATTGTGCTCCTTGATATTCACCCAAGTGAGCTGAAAATGTAAGCCCACACAAAAACTGTACATGAATGTTAGAAGTTTTTGTCCCTCATTGCCAAAACTTGGAAGAAACTAAGATGCCCTTCAACGGGTAAAATAAACTGGTGTATATCCATACCATGGACTAATATTCAATGGTTAAAAGGAAAAGAGCTATCAAGTCCTGAGAGACACGTAGCATTTTAGCAAATATAAGCAGCCAGTCCCGAGAGGCAACGTGCTGTATAGTTCCCACCATATGACATTCTGGAAAAGGTAAAACAATAGAGACAGTGAAAAGATCAGTAATTGCCAGGGGTTTGAAGGGAGGAAGAGAAGGATGAAGAGCTGGAGCACAGGGATTTTAGGGCAGTAAAACTATTCTGTGTGATACTGTGATGGTGGGTGCATGACGTTATGCATTTGTCCAAACCCATGAGTGAAACTTAATGGACCCTGTGGACTCTGGTTAATCATAATGTGTCAGTGTTCATTCACCAGCTGTACTATGCTACACTCACGCAAGATACTAATAATGGGACACCGGGAGGGGCATACGGGAGCTCTCTGTAATTTCTGCCCCACTTCTCTGGAAATCTAAAAAGATTTTTATGCTCTTAAAAATAAGGTCTATTAAAACACAAAACCCTTGCAGCTTGCCACCAGCTCTCATGCCGAGGGCTCCTGGTGAAGCGTGCGTGCGTGTGTGTGTGTGTGTGTGCAAGTGCTTGTGCACACAGCCCATTACAGAGAGAGGCGAGATAGGAAAAGGGAGATTGCCTGAATTATTTTGAGAACTTTAGGTGAATGAAATGTTTGGCTGTAACATTTATAAAATGCATTTATTCCCCTTTTCAAACATTAGGTCCTGTATGCCTATTTGATTTCCACATGATTTCTCTTATTTTCCTTTTCAGTGTGGCTGCTAGCTTGCCTTTTTGTTCTGGTTCGTGGTGTGCTCTGCTCGAGTAAGAAAACGCCGCGTCTCATTGGTACCGCTACGAATAATCGTGTCTTATGTTCTCAGTACTGCACATGCCCACTCTCTCTCTGAATCTTCACAACACCCCCAGAGGTTGGTACTATTATTATTTTAATTTTACAGATGTGAAAACAAAGGTTTTGTTTTTTTTAAAGATTTTATTTATTTATTTGACAGACAGAGAGAGAGCACAAGCAGGGGGAGTGACAGAGGCAGAGGGAGAAGCAGGCTCCCCACTGAGCAGGGAGCCCGATGCAGGGCTTGATCCCAGGACCCTGGGATCATGACCTGAGCTGAAGGCAGACACTTAACCACTGAGCCACCCAGGCGCCCTGAAAACAAAGGTTTTATGGCTTAAAATAGCTTGTCCACATAAAGCTAGTAGGCAGTAAAGGAGCCCCAGAGAGCCCGGTTTTTTTTATTCTAAACACTGAAGCCCTACTGTTCACTGTTTCCCGGGGCTGTTGTGTGCTCGTGTGTGTGTGTAAATGGGCATGCACTTATACACAGAAACCTCTGGGACAGTATGTTTGTGCCAATGCCTCATAAATTTGGGTTTGTAGGTTCAGTCTTTAAGGTTTTCACCATCTGAAGTAACTGAAAACATAATTAGGATAAATTGTTTCCTTGTGGCATCATGCCTCACTTTGACAACTACTGTTTCTACCCTCAGGCTGAGGCCAGTGCTGGGACTTTCTCACACATTAGGAGCTGTGTAAATCAGCTGAAAGAGGCCAGTGAGATATGGCTGAAATCACTTCCTCTCTACACACATCGGTGGTGATACCTCACCCTTGACCTTACCTCCTTCATTATAAAGTCATGAACCTCTTAAGAAGAGAGAGCTAGGTGTGGCCTCATTTGGTCATACACTGATGAATGGTTTAGCAACTCTTCCGAAGGTGGCAGAGATAAAGTTGCAGCAAGTCTTTTTTGTTTGCTTTTATTCTTGCAAGTCTTTTTTTTTTTTAATCCAGAGACTGATATACCCATTTCTGAAGATAGTTTTTCTATATCAAGCTTCGTACTTAATTTAAATGCCAACAAAGAAAGATATATTCTTTGGAGTCCAGAAATGAAAATGTAAGATGAACAAATTCTTTCACGAGGAGAACTGCAATCTCATTGTCTCCATTTGGTTATTTTTAAACTCCCTAAAAATTATTATTGAGCATGCAGCTTATCGGGCAGCTAAGCAATATAAAATAAAAACTTACATCTGCCAAAGTCAACAGAGCCTTCCGGAAATCTCCAGATGTTTCAGAACTAATGTCATCTCCAAGACTCTTCTTATATACTGAAACCAAATAAGAACACATTAAGCCTTGACAAACTGAAAAACATTATTACAAAACCGAGAAAAGCTTAAATGTCAACACTGGCAAGGAATGAGTACCTGAGAAAATAAATCTTGACTCTTTTTTTTTTAACTTCCTGGGGCTCTTCTGATAGGGATACATTCTTCTCATAACTATTATTATAGTGTGTGTTGTGGTAGATACGGAAGAACAGAAAGAATTGCCATGGAAAAGCCAGGGTGGGCAAGCTGCTAGTTTGCCTTCTGATTACTATTTCATTCCTCCACAGTAACAGAACACTGTCCTTGAGCAAGACCTACTGCCTACAGCTTAGACTGCATTCTCAGCTTTCCTCTTAGCTTAGTACCTTAGGTACAGCTCCATGACTAAGTTCTTGGCAATGAAACGTAGGTGAACATACGTGACATTGCTGGGAAATCTCCTTAAGGATGGCTTGTGCTCTTCCTGCATCCTCCTGCCTGGTCTGTAGACTGACGCCTGGAGCTCAGGCAACCATCTTGGACCATGAAGAGATGAACTACATCTTAGCGACAACACGGACAGAAGCAAGAAGGGGCCTGGGTTCCTGAAAGTGTTGAGGAGCTACCACACCAGTCCTGGAACTGCCTGTCTCCGACTTCTTCTACATATGGGAGAAGTACATTTTTATCCTATCCGAGCCGCTGCTTGTCTGATCGAGCCTAACCTTAATTGTGATGTGTACGGCTGGATTAAAAAATGTGATACCTCTCAAAAGTGAGAAAGCTCCCCTAAAATATACTACTTGCCATGACAAATGCCAATTGTGTGTTCACGTATCTGAGTACCGACTAGTTGTAGCCCTTCTTGCATAGTCTGCATTGTGCAATGTCTGCTCATTTCAAATCGATTTTCTGCTCCAGCCATGAGCTGGTGATTCACTGGCGGCCACTATGTACCTGGATGTAGCTGACACCAGGTAGCTATCCGAACTCTGCCCGCATCCGTCTCAAGACCTCTATGGTCATATAAATGTTTTTGGCCTTTTAAATCAACAGAAGATGATTACAGAAGGTGGTATGAGATTATCTAATAGCAAGAACTGTGTTGAAACAGAAACTCTTCCGGCATGATTTTAGTCTTTTTTTTTTTTTACAAAGTCTATAGTTTTTTAAAGCAACTCAAATAAGCAAAATCCATTATGAATGCAAATTACTTACCTAAATAATAACACTTTATAGGCATCGTTTTATCTAACAGTTATATTGTTTTATCTATCCTTCATTCTAATTAGAAAAAAAAACTTTTTAATACCAGAAGTTCAGAATTCAGCTCTCTATTTAGACTCTGTCGTGTCATTGTACTAGACCAGCTACATGAGACACTTGGTCCTTTTATGAGAGCCAAGATGGTAGCCGACGTCGATGGATTTCGTATGCATGGGCCTCCATTTTACATTATATGGCACCATCACTCTTGCTGCAACTGACTGCCACAGGGCTGGCATCTAACTCTAGGTGGTCAGCAGCCAAAGAGGTGAGCTGGTGGGAGAACGTTGCCCAAAATTACGCTATCTATTAGATGGCACCTTCCTGAGCTCACTGAGTCTTTTTTTTTTTTTTTAAGATTTTATATATTTATTTATTCATGAGAGACAGAGAGAGAGAGAGAGAGAAGCAGAGGGAGA